TGAGGACCATGTTTTTACAGCCTTGCCTTTCCACTGCTGGCACTTGGCAACAACAATCACCACATTTTTGATCACATCATGCACAGACACTCAGGAAAGAGGACTTCCAGAACTGCTTCAGAAAGTGCCAAGAAAAATGGGGTGAGTGTGTTTGAAGTGAGAGGATTTCGATGAGCATTCGTGGCAATGTGTCTTACTGTAATAAATACTTTAACACCGTTATATTTTGATCACTCCTCCTATATACAAAAAAAGAGGAAGGTATGTGTATGGGAAATGGGGATTCCAACTCAGAAAGGAGCCAGAGGGAGTTCCTCTGATGCTAGTGAAGACAAGTCCTAGGACATCAGCCACGCTGCAAGCCCAGAGAAAAACCAGCCAGGACGGGAGTGTAATGGAGTCACCAGGACAGCCCGGAATGGGATATCATGGAACATGCTGGGCGGACGTTGGGCAACATTGTTCTGAGAGGCTCCGGGATGTGGAGATGATTAACAAATAGAGACAAGGAAAACGAGGCCAGTGAAAAAGCAAGGTGATCCTTAACTTCAGGAAAAGCAAAAAGTTATAAAAGGAAACAAACAAAAAGCTAACTCCTTCTAGGTGAGGCAGTTCCTTTAACAGAGCCTTTCTGCAAGAACACAACTCTATGTTCATAGGTCATTGGCCAGAACTTAGTAGTGTGGTTCCACACATCTACTAAGAAGACTGGAAATAGTCTTTGATTTTCATACAACAAGGTCCTTCTTGCCAAACAGAGGTTTTGTTTCAGAGGAGGAAGGGTAGATTGAACGTTGGAGTAATGAGGAGCCCAATATTCATCACTTTCACCAGCAACACATTTCACATCCAATACATTGAAAATAACACACGTTTTTAAATTTAAAGTTACAATATAATTAAAAATACTGTATATTAGTTCAAATGTATCTCCTGTATCTTTTATGCACTAAATAACAGAGCACCAAAACATATAAAGCAAAAACCAAAGGAAACACAGTAAAAGCTAATAGAAACATAATATTAATGGGAAGTTAACAAATTGCTTAGTCCTTGACAGGTCGATAGATGACCATCACCAATAACAACAACAAAAAAGAGGTAAAGATATAGGAGATCTAAATGATAAAATTAATGTTTGACCTAATATACATTTAATTATATAACTTGAAATTAAAAGTACATGGTATTTTCAAGCTCCAGTTGAACAACTACCCACAGAATAAAACTTTCAGTAATTTAGAAGTTATACATACATAAATTCCCCATATTTTGTATTGAAGGGAGAAAACTAATAATAAAACTTGGAATAATAACAACAAACAGCCTTGGAAATTTGTGAACTCTCCTAAACAGCTCTCAAATGTAAGCAAACTAAACCTACATTCAAAAACTAAAAACATTATGCTTGGAAACGATGAGAAGTGGCTACAGCTGTAAAGCCTTAACCATTTTACTACCGAACAAGAAATACAGAAAATAAGGGAATTACGCATTTTGCTCAGGCTTTGAGAAGAAGAACAAAATAAACCCAACACAGAAAGACATCATTAAAATTAATGAAAATGAAATGTAGGGAAAACAGTAGAACTGATAAATCTAAGCTTTCTGGGGCAAAAACAAAACAAAACAAAACAAAACAAAAAACTCTTAAAAAATACTAGGCTACTTAAACTAATCCTCAAAAAGAAGAAAACGCAGGTACATAAAATTAGCAGCAATAAAGAGGAAATAAACACAGATATAGAAGAAACTGGAAAGTCCCAGAAGGTATGCAAATTTTGTTAGTATACACAATTTAAATTTAAGGACATAGGAGAAAGAGATGATTTTCTAGGAAGAGACCAACCGCATTAGAAGAGAGAGAAATGAAAATAGACCAAATACCATGAATAAAATAAAATTGTTAACAAGCTACCACTGCTCCAAAGTGCCAGCTCCAAGGAACTGGTACAGCTGAGGTGTTCAAGAGTCTGCAGATCAGAACAAAAACCTACAAAATTATCACACTGCACCAGAAGACGGAAAAATTCAAACTTGTGCATATTAATGCCCCCCCAAAGAAATAAAAATGAAGCCGATACAGCTCAGCAGCGTATTACTTTCCTATTGCTGCCACCACCTATTACCACAGGCTGAACTGCAAAAAAATATCCCCCAGATACTCGTTTGTTATCTGGAAGTCTCTGTAGGGCAGAGATCTGGTGTGGGTCTGACTGACTAAGGCCAAGGTGTCAGCCAGGGGTGCGGCTCTCACCTGGCTCTCTGGTGGAAGGTGGGTGCCCCCTCTTTGGGTCAGCAGCCCTGTGTCAAGTCCTTTTCATGCTCCGAATCTACCTTAGTTCCTCTTCTGTCCCCTCTGCTTCACAGGGGCACCCAGAGAGTAGGATGATCTCTCTCTCGTGAGGTCAATGGCAGTGAGCTTTATTACACCTGCTAAGGCCCTTCTGCTGTATAACTTGACATTCAGCAGCCTGATGGTGGGGGTGCAGGTCTAAAGGTCAAACACTATCTTCCATAGATACTGAAAGAATAATGTTGAGAGCCAAAGTCATTCTAGGGAGAAGAAAAGGCTATTAGAAAGCCTATTAACATAACTCATTATAGCAATATGACAAAAAGAAAAAATTCTCTTAAAAAGTCTTTATAAGATTCAACACTTAAATTTTAAATTTGGATGTTTTACACCCATGGAGCTGTATTTGCTTAACTTTATTAAAAAAGTGTATCCCCCATGCATCCAGTTTATTGTGGAACAATTCACAATAGCCAAGATATAGAACCAGCCTAGGTGCCCCTAACAGACGACTGCTATAGAAAATGTGGTCTATGTACACATCGGAGCATTACATAGCCATAAAGAAGAATACGATTTTGTCACTTGCAGGAAAATGGATGGGTCTGGGGATCGTGTTGAACAAAATAAGCCAGACTTGGAATAACAAATGTTGAATGTTCTCCTTAATATGTGGAATTTTAAAAGATGATTTTAAAAAGCACTGTAGTAGGGATACTACTATCAGACAAGAGGAAAGGAATGAGGAGGCGGGGGTAAGGGTGTAAGGGCAGGGAATAGGGGGAGGGATGGATATGATTAAAATATATACACATGGATGGGCCGGGGATTTAGCTCAGTGGTTTCTCCGCCTGCTGCGTAAGCGCAAGAACCTGAGTTCGATCCCTGGTACCCCCAAAAATAAAATAAAATAAAATATATACACATGGAAACCCCCTAAAAAGAAAAGTGTAAAACTAGAGGGGAGGGGGGGGCAGGGCAAGGGAGTTGTTGAGGGATGAAAATGACTGAGGTGTGTAATGTGTATGTGCCAATCTGCCACAGTGAAACCCATTCATCTGCATAACCAATGTGCACTAATAAAAAAGATGAAGAAAGTGTGTGTAGTCCTCAAACCAGAAGCTAAGGTGCACGAAAAGCAGCAGGACAGGACAGGCCTCTAGGTCAGGACTGAGCACCAGTCCAGCGTGGCTGCTCTGCAAACACTGCCCGGCCAGGCAGCCCAATAAGAGGAGGAGTATTAATACCCACAAGTAAGAGGTGAAAGGAAAAACATGTGCAGACAGTATGATTGTCCACCTGAAGAACCCAGGAGAATCAACAACAAAACCATCAGACACGGGCAGAGTTCTAGAAGGAGCCTGGATACAAGATAAATAAACAAAAATCACGTCTCCTGTTCTCCCGAAAACTCCATTCAGAAAATAAAATGGATGCAAAGATCTCACTGTAATATCATTGAGAAAAACAATGCCAAGAAAGCGTTGACCATTCTGCTCGTGAGAAAATACAGGTACTGCCAGGCCAGACCACCCCAGACCAACTCATAAATCAAAGGTGATTCCAGTGACAATTCTCATGGCAGTTTTCCCTTGTACATCATAAAAGTGCTATAGTGTTCTCCTGGAACAATAAGCACATAAAATAGGTCATAAAGAAGGGTGATGGAGAGCTTGTCTGCCCTGCTTCTTGAAATACAGTGTATGTGACAGAGCTAATGCACTTTCACAGCGTGGCAGCACTGCAAAAAGAGACAGCTGGAAAGCAACAGAAAGCTCAGGAATAGACCCAGGTATTTTGAGAGTCTGGACACACAAATGGACAAGGCCAGTCCACAGAGAAAATCAGGACCCAAGCCCGGAGCCCGTAGCATCTTCCAGGGAAGCCAAGCCGGTACCTGCAACCATCAGCCCCAGAGGGCAGGGCTTGCTTACCTGACAGCCTCCCTTATTTAGTCACCATAGCCACGGCAGGTCCGGCAGAGAAGGCCAAACACATTCCCTTTACCAGTCCATAGATGCCCGGCTTTCCTGAGCCAGAGCCTTCCCCGGGGCAGCCCCGAGCTGAGGCCTCTCCTGTTTCCCACCAGAATACTTCTGGCTCCTCTGCCTGCCCTTCAGTTTCTGTCTCACCTTTAGTTCAGAGTGGTGGCTGTCCACCTTGCTACGCAAGTTTGGACTCCACAGCCTTTGCTCGGGCAGGGCTTCATCTCTGTCCACACTACTTACCGTGACGTAGTCCTGGGGTTCAAACCAGTGCAGGAAGAACAGAATAGTCAACAATACTCAACACTGTTTTGGAACCAATGTCCATCATTTGTAGGGAAAAGATGACTCCTACTCTACAGCCACATCAAAGTAAATACCAGCTACTCCAAAGATTTAAGTGCAAAAACACAAAACTGCTACAATAGAAGAATATTAGCTGATTGGCACAACGGTCCCACAAGGGAGGCAAGACTGTTGGGCATTTATGACCATTTTAAGGATGAGGGGGTTCAGGTCCAGCCTGGAGCATGAGAGCCCGGATCTGAGCCCAAGCCTGGCTCCTAGAGCACAGGGCACATGGGGTTGGTGGGTGGGATGGGGACTGAGGACGAGCTCAGCTTTGGGAACCCTGAAGGGCTCTTGTAAGAGGACAGCTGTGCAGTGCTCGGCGGGAGGGTGCCCAGGGGTGGCCGGGCAGGCTCCGTGGGGCAGCTCACCGGTTGGGACTGTAGCCCATGCTGGCCAGCATGTGGGCCTGGTCCAGGTCTCGAGGGAAGCCGTGCAGCACCCACCCTTTGTGCACGCAGTCTGGCCGGTCCAGGCGCCCCTTGAGCACCTTCAGGATGATGTCGTCGGGGACTGTGGAGAAAGGGGAGTGTGAGGGCCCCGCTGGCAGTGGGCTTCAGACCCTTCCCGGACCAGACTGAGCTGCCCTGCTGGGGCCACCAGGACAGGGCTGGGGATACCTGGGTCCCACGCAAGAGAAAGCCGTTTCCAGAGAAAGGAATGCATCGGGTGACCTTCACCTTGTCCTTGACTCCATCCCCAGGGGCGGACAGGGCAGTTCCCAGTCCTCACCTCCCACCTCGGTCTGCTCTGCAGCGACAACGCGACATCATAGCGTGGGTCCTTTGTGGAGGACGGAGTGAGGGGCTCCGGATCCTACCCCTAAAGCTCACGCCAGTGAACCCCAAAGGCCCCAGCTCCTCATCCACCATCTCAGGGGTTAGGGTCCCACGTGCGAGTGGGGACAGCGCGTTCGCGTTCGTATCCCAGCGCCCTCAGGAACTCCCGGACACACGCCAGGCCCCACCCGAAGCTTTGGTTTCCCTCAGATGGAATCGAGTGGGTGCCCCCACCCCTGCCCCAAGTCTCCCCTCCTTGATCTCTAGAGCCGAGACTCTCTCGGGAATCACAGCTCCACTTAGAACTGGAGCCTGAAATAGAGGAGAAGCAGGTACTGAGAAGCCTGTGTTTACATTCCCGCTCTGACATTTCCCTGAAACCCACGCCTCTCTTCCCTGGCTCATTAAATATCTTATGTTGCTAATGTACTGCATCCCAGCGATTTGCACTGCATTTCTTGCACTTTGCACCATTTTCCCAGAAACACTTGGTAAATATTGCTGCTGTTCGCTGTGCGGCCTGGGTGCGGTGATCCGAGGTTCTTCTGGAAGCTTCTGCACGGTTCTCCTCCTCCCGGCCACTGTGGGTCTGTCTGGTGGTCCTCATGCACACATGTGAAGTCCCCCGAGACCTCCAGGGTGACAGCCCGGTGACGCTGAGGGTGAGATTTGGAAAAACTCACTCCCAGCTGCTTCCCGGTGCCATGAGGTGCTGGGCATTGCCTTGATCTCCAAAGAAGCGCAGGTTTATTCTAAGCACTCTGCATCTACGTGCACTTCCTCTTTCTCGGGCTTTTCAACCCTCCTTCCCTAGAAAGGGCAGAAAAGGGACTCTGCTTTGACGAGAAAGTCGGGCCATCCGGCATGAATGAGTTGATAGGGCTGATTCTGTCTCTTCCCCTGCTCAACCCCTGCTGTGGCTCCCTAGTGCTTCCAGGAGAAAGAGCAGTCTCCTCCCCAAGGCCAACGGAACCGGCAAGAGCTGTCCCTGCCTCTCTTCTGGGTGGACCTCCTGTGCCTGGATGAGCCTCTGGACCCTGCCTGCGGCCCCCTGGGAAGGCTCCCTCTCCAAAAGTCTGAGGGCTGCACCTGTTCTTCCGGGCCGCCTCCACTTGTTACCAATATTCTGGGTGTCTTTGGTCAATGCCTGAACAGTGGGTTCCATGCAGGCAAAGGGCCAGGTCTCCTCCATTTTTCACAGGGCCTGGCACACAGCAGATGTGGAGCACAGGGGCAGGAGGCTTCTCTTCTCAACTAACCAAATACATGAAGACCAACTCCATGGATGCTGTGGTAGAGAGGGGAGCCTGGGCTCTGGGCACTCACAGTGATGCCTCATCTTGGCCCTCCTGGCACCAGCGAGACAAGACGCCTGCCTGCCAGCAAGCCTGGAGCCTTGGAAGTTGAAGAGTGATTTAGAACCCTGGCCCTAGATAGTTGGGGATAATTCATTCACTCCAGGATTGTAAATCCAGAGGCCCCGCCCCTCCAGATAACTGTCTCCACTGCAGGGCAGAGGTTGAGGCAGGAGCCAGCACACCAGCCTTCTCCCTGAGCTCAAAGACTCCTAAAGCCAGGTCTCCTCTTCTGAGCGACAGCCCCTGCTGTTGGGGCACATTTGGCTTTTTCCACACAGCCCTGTGAGGGGCAAAAGAACCACCAGACTCTTGGCTGCTGGTCTGGCTGCTCCTCGAAGGTGGCCACGGGCGGATCCAGCCGCCATGACCTTTGACCCAGGAACCTCATTTCTGAAAATGTGCACCTACAAGACAGTGGCCCAGGTGGGCAAAGATGTCCATGTCAGGTTGTCTCTAACAGTGACACCTGGATCATGTGCAGCATGGATGACAAAGGAGCATGGCTTGAAGCAAGGACAGCCCCTCCACCCAAGGAGACCATGCAGCCTTTAGAAAGTTCCATGAAGGTTCTCCGACAGAACGAGGAAGCCAGCAAACAGGGACGCATTGCAGGCCTGACTCAGGCAGCAGGAGGCCCACACTCGGTGCCCACGCGTCAGATCCGGTCCCTGTGCATATGAAGCGCAGGGCCCTTGGTTGGGCAGGCCTGGGAACTCGATGCACCACAGCCCGAGCTAGAAAGGCTCAGGGCTGCAACAGGGACAGCCCACAGGGTCCAGCTCTAAATCCAAACCCAGTGAGCCAGGGAGACACGGAGACACGGACTCGAGACTTCCTCGTCACACCCCGAGCCAGTCACTGGGGCTGGGGTGTTTATTTAACGCCTGTCTTCCTGCTCCTACCTGTGAAGGCCGGCATCTCCCTAAGGCCCTCGGTGAACTTCAGTGCCATTAACACTGAATGAAGGAAGGAAGGGACAGATGGTGCCATTTCCAAAATCCAGGAGGCTCTTTAGTTCCTGCAAGGTTCATGGGCCAGAGAACTACGGAGCCTTCCTCACCCAGCATGAAACGGGGTCCAGACCTTTCCTGCTGGGGTAGTGGAAAAGGAGCCCAGAGAAGCCGAGCTGGTAGCTGGGGTTAGGGGCGGGTTTCAGACACCACAGAGGCAGCCATGCCCCAGGACTCTGCCCTGACCGCCAGCTCTGCAGCATGCGGGTTCCCTGAACAGAGCTGCTTGCTGCCACGCTCTGCTGCGGGTTTAAGGTCCCCTTCATAATGTGTCCATTTACCCTTTATCCTCTGCTCGGAGCGGCTTTGCAGCACCAGCGAAAGCCTTTTACCATTAAGTCAGAAGCCTCGGGCTTGATTCCTAGGCTTGACAGTTAACATCTTACCCTTCAGAACAGCTATGCCAAGGGCTACCTCTCCAGAATGCCTCTGCGGAATATGTCAACCCTGAATCCATCCAAGTGCAAGATGTAAGCATCCTATTAATTCATGGGGCCACAACACATGATTTTGTCTTTTTTTATTTTTGCTCATGAAAGATGGCAAAGTCTGCAAGTTGACCTGAGATTATTAAAATCTCAGGGTGCTGATTCCCTGCCAGGCCCTGGGTGCTTAGCTTGGGGCTGGTCGGAGCCCCAGCCCCCCCACACCCTCCCGCTCACCCTCCTGTCCTGAAGGCCCAGGCCTCACATCAAGCTCCCTCCTGCACCTCAATTCTTCAGTGTGGGTCAGGACAAAACGCCAAGCAGGCCTGGCCGCCCCGAGGTGGACCAGATGGGCTGACCCCTTCTGGGCTGGTGGGGGCCTCATGTCTGTCGTCAGCCACCACATCCAGCTCAGACGGCTGAGGCTGGGAGCTAGGGCTGCGGACAGAGCACGGGGCTGCTTGACAATTCGCACCAGAAGCCACAGCTCTGTGCCGCACCAGCTGCCACCTGCTGTCCGCACCACTGCAAGGCCCCGGGGACCATGGCACCCTGCCCATTCCTTATGTCCCTGGCCTGGGCTGGGCTGGGACCTGAGGATGGGAGGGGCCCTAAGGTTGCTGGGGGCAACTTGGAAGGAAGGACAGAGCAGAGAGAAAAGAAAGCGCTCTCCCACCGGCACGTGAGGTGAGGAGCCTAACCCTGCCTGCCACCTGGGGAGAATCAGAGAGAGGGGAGCAGCTCCCAGCACCCTACACCGCCTGCTCACCCCCAAGCCCACCTGGGCGCTGCAACCCACCCACACACACTACACACTCGTGCACTCCCTCAGACACACGCATCACACCCCACACGCCAAGCGTGGGCCCCGTCCGTCACCGGCACACACAGGTCACACAGCACCCCACAACCACACCAGCCCGCACCAGGCCCCAGGGGACGACAGGTCCCCGGAAGCTGCTAGAACCTGCCCCTTCCCCTCACCCCCCGGGGCTCCCGCTGTCCAGCGGACAGGTCTGGTCTGGGTCCTCAGAAAGGGGCCAGGACCGGAGAGAAGGCTGCTTTCATTTTGGTTTTAATTTCCATTTCATGTATCCTGATGCTTGAGGGAAAAGTGACCACACGCTCTCACCCTAAAATGTCTCCCCCTGAATGCCAGAAGCCTTGCCCAAGACTTAAGTCGGGCGAGCCCTTAGGGGTACCGCTGGGTACCGCTGGGATGCAGTGAAAGCTAAATTAATGATTTCCGGGGGTCAGCGCTCTCTGGATGGCGCTGGCTCCCGGCAGCTGAGCCTGAGGCCCTCCCTGTGGCTGTAACCAGAAATCCTGCAAGTCCAAGGACCCGGGCCAGGTGTTGCCGTAGCAATGCTGTTTGTTTATTATGCACTGCCACCTGCTGGCAGATTATGGATCCTGCACCTCAAGTGAGCCTTTCTAAGGACACAAGGAACACTTTTTTAAACCTGTAAGGGAGATGATGGGGAGAAACTAGGATTGTTCGATGACCTCACCCTGTACTTCTGCAGGAGGCTGGATATAGCTGACTTCTTGGTAAAGTAAGTCACTTGCTACAAATAAGCTGCTCTCTTGCTGGGTTTAGATTTCCCGGGTACAAGATTAAACAGATGTGGGCCAGGGATTTAGCTCAGTGGTTCCGCCTCCCGCCTCATAAGTGCAAGGATCCAGAGTTCGATCCCCGGTACCCCCCCCCAAAAAAAGATTAAACAGATGTTTCTAAGGCTTCCTTAGGTCCGGAAAGACTACATTCTAAAGTCCATGTTGCTTAATGACAACATTTGAAGTTGCTAGAAAGACAGCTGTACCAGAGAATAACAATGCTTCAATATTGGTTTTCTCAAGTCAGTAAGAGTGCATCAGCCCCCGCCCCTGACAATTACTGGGCCATCTGAGCACTCACACCTCAGAGAGCGCCAGCTGACT